GTAACCTTAAATCTCCTTATTACAACAATTATCAAATAAATTTAACTCTTGAAATTGTTCAAAATATACATATCACACGAAGACAAACCCAGAATGTTCAAACAACTTTCTCCCTAATTCACATCAAGTTTATACACTTTTGCAAATACCAAAGCAATATAAACTACAAATAAACCAAAATAACCTAATTAATTAAAAAAAATAAATTGAATATAAACTACAAATAAACAAAAAAAAACCTAATTAATTAAAAAACACTTATTTTTTGCTATGAAAAAGCCATTCTCCAATAAATTGAATATAAACTACAAATAAACAAAAAAAAACTAATTAATTAAAAAGATAAACTGAATATAAACTACAAATAAACAAAAAAACACCTAATTAATTAAAAAACCCTTCTTTTTTGCTATTAAAAAACCCTTCTCCAATAAACTGAATATAAACTACAAATAAACAAAAAAACCTAATTAATAACCATATAATCATACCTTTAATTACAAATAAACAATCAAATTAACTTTCAAAATCATTCAAAACACAAATATATCATATAGTATGCACACACACACAATCAACGATCAGCAATCGGCACAACAACGCGACAGTAGCCTTGAAATTCTCTACATCAAAATTTAGAGAAAAAATTGCAAGACCTGAATCACATTTGCTTGAAAAAAAATTCCACTCAGATTCTCTACATCAAAATTCATAGAAAAAATATTATTAACAATAATTCAAAACCCTAATTTCTCAAATCACTCAGCAAAATTTCTCTAATTTCTTCATCCCGATGGAGAATTAGACCCAATAGTCCCACCGCGGACACGGCGACGTCGCGACCTTCGACTCCTTCTAACCAATCTACTCCACGACCTTATCCACTGCCGACTACCTCTGTATTTTCGTCGGCGATTTCCTCGAGGAGCTCGCGAACCGCGTCGACGTCCTGACCTTATCCAACGACGACGGTGGCAGCGAGAACAACGATGAACCGAACTTTACCTCTGGCGAGAAGAGCGATATCAAGGTGACCGTGGTGTAGGGCGGAGGCCGGAGGATCTCTGGACGGTGGAAAAAAGGGTCTGCACGGCCACGACATTTGCAATGTCGAGGATTTAGATCGGATCAAGCAAATTGTGTCTAAACAGGAGAGAGAAATCAAGGTTTGAAGAAACGTTGTGGGGAAGGAGGAAACGAAGGTGAAGGAAGGAGACGGATTTAGATCGAAAATTTTTAAGGAGAGGATGGAGAAGATAAAAGCCAAAGAAACTAAATCTGGTTTCTGAGATACTTTGGGGTTTGGGATGAGAGAATGAAGTGGTGTTCACCCAAAGTCACGTCAAGAATTAAAATGATTAGAATCTCGTAATTATGAAGCAAATAACATAAAAGTGGATTGAAAATTTTAAATTCGCACTTTGGGAAATAAAAAGATACGGGCTCGTGGAGGGGGTAATTTTCTCAATAATTTATTTGATAAGCTTTTTGGGCCCAAAACTCTAATTTAGAAAAAGTTCATTAGAGCAGCGTTTTGGGGATAGAGGATTCACAAAAATTATGTACTTGGAACTTTTTAATTTGTTTTATTTATTTTACAATCTACATTAGTTTATGGTGCTAACAAATAATAATATGTCATCCATATGATTAATTTATCTAGAAAAATGTAAAATTCATAACTTCTTCATCAAGTGTTACTAAATTTAAAAAAAAATACATATATATATATTTATAAATTACCAACTAAAGAGTATTAAATATTTTAATATATTATTATTAAAAGAATGCACCCTAAATAATAGAATGTCATTATTGGTCATTTTGCAATGTCAAACAGCTATAAGCTTTCAGATATTTACCAAACACTTATTTAAAAACCGCTAATGCAATCCGCTGGGCAAATCAGCTAATATAATCCGCTAACCGCTGATAAAATCCGCTATCCGCTATCCGTTGATCGCCAAACAAGGTCAAATCTCTACCTCCCCTCTCTCTGCATCTTCTCTCTCCCTCTCCCCCTCTCTCTCTTCTTCTTCTTTTTCTTCTTCTCCTACAATTTTACGCTTATACTTTCTCTTCCCCTACAGGTAGAATTTTTCTCTATTTTTTTTCTTCTCATGTTTCTGACATTGTTGGCCCCGTGAATAGCTTTCTATTTTATCTTTCAAGAAGGCACTACTCATATTGAATTGCTTTGTTATTTTTATACATAATTTTGTAATGGAGTTTATATATTTTATCCGTATGGTGTTGTGATGGAGACGAGGCCGCGTTGATGTTCTTGCAGAAATATGACCGTTTGCGTGTCTAACACATTTATTTTATTGCTTTATTTTCCTTTTGGGTCTATTTATCTTTAGTGGTTGCAATTGTGTTATTTTATTAGTATGGGGGCGTTTCTTTAATTATTAGGATTTATCGTGCTTTAGTGGAGTTAGTGGAAACTCCTTATTTATGTACTGCGAACAGAAGAGAGAAAACAGTTTTATCGATTGAATAAAAATTATATGTTCTCTCTTGAGATTGTTCTTTCCCTTTCGTATACATCCTCTACATCAGTTGGTATCAGCAGACCAGCCGACAATCCACGATGCCGCCGAAGAAGGACAAAGCCGTGATCGATAACTCCGTTGATGAACGATTCCAGAGAATTGATGAGCGATTTAACGGTATTGATGAACGATTTGTGGATCTTTCGACGGGATTCGGGGAACTACGACTGACGATGTACACCATGGTGGACGAGATGCGTCGAAATCGTGACGTGGCTGACCGGGGCACTCGCGAGGGACACCGCGGTGGTCGAGGAGGTCGGGTTTTTGGCGGGGCGCCCCGCCGCCGATCACCACAACCACCGCCTACCGTTGATGACTCCGACGACACTTGGACGGTAGAGAACCCTTTCGTGGACGGAATCAATGCGCAGGCCCGA